TATTCTATTTTAACTTTTTTGTTTCAATTTTATTTTTTAAACTTAATTTTTTATTTTTTAATTTTTGTCTTTCTTTATTTCACTTCAACTCTTCTATCTTAATCTTATTCTTCAATTTATCTTTCTCAATCACTAACTTCACCTTTTCTTTCTAAACATTTTGATATTTCAATCTTAAATACTTCATCTATTTACAACTAAAAAATATTTTACTTATCTCCTGATTAAAATTCTCTATCTCTTTAATTTTTTTATACAACTTTTCATATTTCTTTCTCCACTTTCCACTCTTTTTACTAATAAACAAATCACTATCTTCTTTTTTCTTTTTTTTTAATAAACTCTTAACTATTTTTTTGTACTTTATTTTATTTTCTTGAAATATTCTTCTCTATTTATCTCAACTATTCTCTACAATTTTTATTTTATATTCTAGTTTAGTATTTTTCTCTTCTAAGTATTTAATTTATTCATCTTTCTTATATATCAGGAAAATTTTAAAAGTGATATATATCATTAGTAATCTTTAGATTACTAATGATATATAGCACCTCTGCCAAGTATCATCATTAGTGATTACTAATGATATATAACAAAATTTATACAAATCGTTACTTATTGATAGTGATTATAATCATTTATAACTATTATATATCAATAATCATTATATATCACTAGTGATATATATCGATATATAACAATTAATCAATATATATTAATTATTTTCAATCGATATATATCGATTTAATGCTATATATTGATATATATCTGCTTAAAAATTTTGCTGATTTAAAATAATCTTATTAATATTATAAAAAGATTATTTCTTATAAATTATTAAATATTATCATATTTTATTTCTATTTTTCTTATCTCTATTATAATATTATTATTATTTAAAATTATTATTATTATTTTTTATTATTATTAATTTTTTTATATTTTATCTTCTTTTTGTTTCTTTTCTGGATACACTCTTTTTAAAATTTTTAATTCAATATTTCATTTTTTTAAAAAATTACAATTATTTTTTTTATCATATTCAAAATCTTTTTTTATTTTACCTCTTATATTATATCCAAACCTTAATTATAAATCACATAAAATTTTAAAATCTTATTAGATAATCAGTTAATAGAAGTTAATTTTTAAAAACTGTTTGATAAACAAATTTAGCATGATATACTATTATAGTAAAATGGATAAGATGAGCATATAGCTATTACATGATTGTATATTCAAATACAGCTAATGAATGTGTTAACTCTGTTTGATAAGATTTACGATAACAGCATTAGTTTGTAATAATATAACTCAGTATTTTGGACTTTTAAATTATAAATATATCACTCTATTACAATAGTTTAAAATTAGAATTATAGAAATGATTATTAAACATTGAAGTTCTAAAACAAGTTATATGAAATTCTAAAATATTATTGAATACTTGAAGTATTCTAATGATCTCCAAAAAGAATACAAAATTGAAATTTAGTAATATTTCTAATATGGATTAATAATATAAAGCATATTACCAAACTGTATAGATTGTATATTTGAAATTAAGTAGAAGAAGCTTTCTGCTAGAATCCAAGTTTAGTAAGGCTTTTGGTTGAAATACTAGAAACAGAATTTTTTTTTATATATTTTTATTATATAATATTTTATTAATTAGACTTTAATATTTTATTTTTAGTATTAGTTTATTTTATATATATACTTATATTTTATTATTATAAAAACAAAAAAAAAAAAATTAACACAATTTAAAATCCAATATCTGACAATTTACTTCTATTATTATTATTTTCTTCACTGCTTCTTTCTTCTATTCATAATCTTTTTAAGTCCTCTTTATAATTTTCTAACCTTGCTCTCAATCTATTTCTCTCATTTAACAATTTTGTATACTATTGTTCTAATATCTACCTATTCTGCATCCTTGTTATTATATTTTTTCTTAACTCCTTTAACTTTTCTTTTAAACTCTGAATCCTTTTTCTTTAAGAGGCTATTAATTAAAGCAAACTATATAAATTTTATTAATTTTATAAAAAAATAATAAAATGAAGGTTTTTGTTAAATTAAATATTTACTGTCTATTTTTATTTTGGACCACCTTCAAGACTCTATACAAGGCATTGTTATCATTGCATTTAGCTTGACAAACACTTCTTAGAAGGCTGTATTTTAGCATTTTATTATTATTATTATTGAAAGTTGTTATTATTATTATTAAAAAAATTTTTATAAAAAAAAAAATAAAAAGAGCAAAAATATAAATTTTTTTTTTTATAAACAATGATCAAATTTTCTTTAATAAAGAAATTTAAATAGAAATTAATTAAAAATTGTTTTAACAAATCTAGAAATCAATTAGAAATAGATTTAATAAATTTGAAATAATAATGATTTATAAATTGTATGATTACAAATACAAATAATAAATAGGTTAGAAAATTTATTAGAAAAAAACAATCATAATAGAAACAATGTGATTGCTAAATTTAGAAATAGATGAACCAACTTGAACAAAGTTACTAATTTAGATAAATTGGTAATTAAAATTCAGAAACCTTACCTTTTAAGAGAAGGAAAACACAAAGAACAATACAAATACAAAAATAGAACATGTGACAATACAAATTTTATCAATATTTTTTTTTTAGAATAAAGAATTGTTTAATATTATTGTAAACAATTACAGTATTCAGATTTATCAACAAAGTCTTAGCATATGACTACTATCTAGAAGCCTTATTAATAAAAAAACCAGATTATAACAAGTCTATTAATGCAAGTTGAATTAAGATTTAAATTAGAACTTATTAATTGTTTAAAGCAATAAGTTATAAACAAATTTATTAAACAAAAAAATTAACTTTCAAGTATATCAGTAATATGAATAGAGCCAAGTTTAATTAGTTAATTAATTTTTGTATATAATACAAAAGTTATAGAAATTTTGTGAAACAAAATTCTTAAAGAAAAAAAAATGTTACAAAATAGATTATTAATATAATATAATATATTATATTATTAGTAGTTATTATATATTTATTATTGTATTTTATATTATATTTATTATTAGTTATTTTTTTAAATATTAATGATAAGGCCATGTTTTTAATTTTATTGAAATTTAATTGAAGTTTTTATAAAGAAAAGCTTGCTTTTAAATTATATATGAAGAATAAAAACTTAGACATATAATCTGTGACCTAAACCTTTTATTATTAATTATTAGCATAGTTATATTATAGTATATAGTAGTTAGATAATAGAATTTTAATTAGCTATTAGAAGTTTGATACAGACATATGATATTGAATAACATCTATAATGTCATTATTGTCTTACAAGCCCCAAGTACTCTTATACAAGTTTTATATATCTAGTACAATTTATTGAATCAAATACCACAGTACAAGAATTTCAAGTATCTCTAATACAATCTTCAAGTGTTTTTATACAATTCCAACTGTCTTTGCACAGACTCAAATACCTTGATATAAGCTCCAAGTCTTTCAAGTACAAATAACAAATATATATAAACATTGTCTTAACTATCTCTGTACAAACTCTATTTGCCTTTGCATAATTTTTACTATTTTAAGTACAGTATTAAGAAATATCACTTAAACTCATACTACTCTTATTAGGTAAAAAAATATATAAAAGATATCTTTTCCTCTTTTTTGTCAATTCTAAGTTTCTATACTTCAACCTAAACTTTCCTATTTTTCCTTCTAATAATATTTCTTCTCTAGAGTAATTTCTACAGACAAGGTTGTCACTATGTGTTTAATTAATAAACTTAATCTATATATTGTTATTATTTCAAACTGTTTGCCTACTGCTATGTAGTAAAGTGAACTACTATATCTTTATCTCATATATATTTGCAATAGTCAATCACTGTACTGGATGATTTTGTTATTTGGTTGTATTGTACCAAGAAGGTTACAACCCTATAATACTATTAAATAAAAATATTTATTATTATTTTTTTATTTACTAAAATTATTTTAATAAAAATTGTATATATAAGAAAATTTTTGACTTTGATATAAAAATTAAAATAAAATATTGGTTAGTTGTTAGTTTAAAAATAATATTTAATAACTTTTAAAAACATAATATAAATTATATTTGTATTGCTATATTTTTTTAATTTATATTATTAATAATTTTATTTTAAAAAAATATTATTAATAATTTTATTTTAAAAAAATATTATTAATTGGTTTAATAATAATTTTTTAAAAAACTAAGTTAAATTATCCATTTTTATAAAAATTTTTTTAAAGAAAAATAAAAAGTAATAAAAATTATATAAGATTTTTTGGTTAAGTTTTATAATTATATAATAATTACTTTAAGCTATTAATAATTTTAACAGTTTTAATAAGAACTTTGCTACAATTTTTTTTAGAATAAACATTTTAGTTTAGATATCAAACAGAAAAAAAAAAGAAAACTTAATTTTTTTTCAAACCCTTACAAGTATGTTTGTTTTTTGATATTGATTTATTAACAACGATTTACTTTATATAAAACTAGAAGTATTGTCTTCTTGTGTCCCGTTGTAAAGTAAATTCAGATTTCAAAAAATTAAAGAGATTTTTTCGAAACCGACAAGTATTGTGACATATAAAACATGCCAATTTGCAAGAAAATTATTAAGCATTATATATTTAGTTTAGCAAAAAAAATAACAATACAGTATATGTAGCATAATATACTGTATTGCATTAGAGAAAATATCTATGTTTATTTATGCCAAGCTTGAAATATATTTCAATCTAATTTTCACTGAGAAGTCAAATACAGTGATATCAAGTACAGCTAAAAAATGGATTATATCAAATACAGTATATATATATATATATATATAATAATACAATACTGTTATTATGAAATCTGAAAATTAAAAGTATGCAAATAAATTCGATGTAATTATCGAGATAAGGCAGATAATCACACTGAGATACGGAACTTTAACAATTTCTTTCGTTTGGTGGACTAAAAAATAAATAAATGAAATTAATGAGTTATAATGTTAGAGTAAAAAATACAACTATCTATATATATCGATATATATATATATTTTTTACCGCCATGGAACCCCCAAAGCATCGAATATTTCCCTTTCGGTTCTTTGTGCAACCAGAGTCCCTTCAGTCAAACTTACACCACCGCGACCTCGAGAGATATTTTTATATAAACCATGATTATTCAGTTTCATTTTCTGTGGTATAAGAATTTTTTATTAGGCGACATTAAAATAATAGAAACAATTTATAAGTACATCGTTACCTGTTTTCTCGCAAGTAATCTCATACTTCTATTAAAAATATCATTTCCTGTAAAAGATAATAATGCAGCACCTAATTCATTAAATGGAACAATAAAAAGATCTAAAATTTAAAAGAAAATTAGTATTAAATTAATTAAAAGGTATAAATATAAAGATAATCTAAACCAGGATTTTTTTTTACCTATTCGACGATATTTTCCATCGGGTAACTTACAAATTCCAAGATATCTTGACGAGGCTTTTTCTTCATTATGTTGAGTGAGGTCATGCGTTAATAATCCTTGTTCGCGTAGAGCATCGAGCAACTTTAAAAAGGAATCTTTTGATGGTAATCATATTAGCACAAGTTCATACTAGCAATAACACCAATAACACTGATAATATGTAGTACAGTCAACTCTTTCTGTAATGAACTAGTGGTTCTTTTCTTAGAGTAAATTTTGGTACGGTCAAACCACCCTAAATGCACAACCCTAAATACATTTATTCATGGGTATAGCTGGGCCTATAGATGACAAAATTATTTTTGCAATGAAGAAACTATAAATAAAATGATTAACAAGATTAACGAAATCAAACATTTTATCGAATTTCGTCAATTTAGTCACACATCTATAGCAGGGCCAGAGTTAAAAGATTGCATTTAAGGAGAGTTGACTGTATATAAAAATTTACAAAGTTTTATATAACAAAATTTTCAAATTTATAAAAAAAAGTTTTTTATACGATAATAAAAAAGAAGCGTTATATACAATTAGAGTTAACTGCATATCGAATAAATTAAGTTTACCCAAACTTGATTTTCCATCAGAATCATTTCTAGTTATCAAAATGTCAATATCACCGCAAGTTGGTTGACCTCTTATGTAAGATCCAACGGTAATACATAATAATTTGGGGTCAATTTTACAAGCAGCTACTTCTACGCGTTTTGAGATTTCAGTTATTTCATCACGTGGAATTCTTTCTTGAAGATCCTTTGAAAATGAATATAAATTTTAACTTTGAATATTATATAAATTAAAAAAAAAAGATATAAACATACGTCATAACATTCAATTCCAATGCGTTGGGCACGTGTTAGTTTGACGTTTTGAATAATGTCATCAAAAGTCCGATAACCTTTTGCATACCATTTCATGGCAATGGATGGTCCTACACCTATTTAATGTCAGATGAGATTAGTAATACACAAAAAGTTTTGAGTAAACAATGAAAGCATACCATGAATATCGCTGAATTTCTTAATCACTTCATCGTCTTTTGAAAAATGCTGCAATCTTTTTAAATTTCCTGTATTAACAATTTCCGCGATCTGTTAACGTTAAAATTATATTTTATATTTTCGTAAACAAATGTTATCGTTAAACGTTATAACATGGATTGAAAAAATGGATTGAAAAAAAAACCTTTTCAGCAGTGCGATGTCCTATACCACGAATTTCTATAGCTTCTTGATAAGAAGTAATTGGCTCTTTTTGCCTTTTAATTGCAGCAATAGCCTTACGATAACTTAGAATCCTCCATTCATCTTTCATACGTAGATAATGATCCAATAACACTTTAAGCTATAATTTACAGTGAACAAAACTTAATGTGAGATTTTTAAATGGATTAATTTTTTTCTTTTTGACACAGACTTTATCAATAATCAATTTATTTGGGCTAGCATCATCTTCTCCATATGTATGTTTATGCATGCAAGTAAACTGCCCTTTGAAAGACTTTAATATATATATATATCAAATTGAAAGTTAAAAAAAACAACAAAAAAAAAACTTTAACGAAAAAGAATATAGTAAAGAAAAAAAGAAATCAAACATTCGCTTCTTTAGTAGATAATTCAGAAGTAACTTCTTGTGATTGTGATAGGACTTCTTCATTCTGCGTTGATGATTCAATCATCTCATTTTCCGAATCAGACGTTTCACCTTGCACGCTTTGAGATTCATCATCATAATCATCCAATAGAAAACCCTTTAAAGATTACGAAATCATAAGCTTTAAATATATAGTTAAAATTAAGCTATAATTAAACTTTAATAAAAAATATATATACAATTTACCTCATCTACAAGATGTTTGGTCTCCGCAATCATCTCTATCAAAGGATCGTCATCTGAAGTCACTTTGCTAACAGTTGGTGACGATTCATAGGTCAGTGCGGATACTTCTTGCAAACTAAAGGATGAAAAAGGGGAACGCTTTTCTGGAGACAAGGATTCTTGTTTTCGTTTCTTTTTTATATAGTTATCATTTCTTTTGCATTAAGGTAAATAGAAAGTCAGATTAAAGTCTTAAAAAATATTTATTATTATTTTTTTTTTTAGATTTTAGATATTAGCTTTTATATATGACCTTTTACTTTCGTTATTGTCATGAGCACTTTTTTCTTTTTGTTGGACACTTAACACATCTGATGTTTGTACAACATATGGCTCTGTATCCATGAGTCTTCCATACTAACGTTTTAACAATAATAATAATTATTATTACGAAAACTGTAAACCTTTTTTTTTTAATAACTAATGTAAAAACGCGTAAAATTATCACGATGCTTGCCATTAGACATTCTGAAATCCAATTTGGTTCAACTATAATGATTCCCTGTATTTAGAGTTAATTATAGAACTGATGCAATAGGATTTTGATATTAAAGATAACGATAACGATAGCCAAATTATTAAAATACCTGAGGTATGTTGTTTCCGCGAATTCCTAAAGCTTTTAAAACTCTTTGTCCCTGCAAAGCTGTAATCACATGTGTAGCCGAAATATCAAATTCACCATCAATCACTTGTCCTCCCCTTTCTACTACTTTTTCTTTCAACAATCTCAAACGAACTTTATCGATATTTTTTGGAATAAAAAAGAATCGAAAATTAGAAAATATTCCATCAAGACTTAATGTTGGTCTTGCATTTTTCGATGAAGCAGTTTCACGCGTCGATTTTTTTTTCCTTCCTCGAGTCGTTTTAGATGGGCCAGATGCAACAATGGTTGTTTTTTGTGAAGATGTTTTTTGTGAAGATTTTTTTTGTGAAGATGTTTGTGAAGATGTTGATTGCGATGCATGTACAGAAGAATCATAACGAGCTTTCTTATTACTAGAAGATGCAACTTCTTTTTCATTCGTAATTTTATACATAACTTTGCGAGTTTTACGTTTAACTGGTTTGAATGAAAATGATGATAATTGGATTTTCTGAGTTTCTGTTTGATCTGCGGCCGAAGATGTCTTAGTATCAATTTTTTTCGAAACTGGTGCTTCTGTATCATTTGATATGACATGTGATTCATCAGGTTTTTCTTCTGAAATGCTATCAAACGTTCTTTTCTTGTTCTTTACATTGATTTGATCAGCATTCATTAAAGTATCGTTCTCTTGTGATGATAAGATATTCAAGGAATCCATTCCAGAATAAAAAGAGTTACTCAATTGTAATGAGGTTTGTGGATTTTCTTTTTTATCGATATCATTGTCTACAGATGGCTCAAGCGGTGTACCTAGCATTAAGTCTTCACTTTCTGATAGCATTGATAGAGTATTTGAATTAGTTGGACGTGTATCTCCTTCGTCTTCGGAAGCCATACCTTGAATGCTATGATAAAATTACTGATAAAATGTGTAAATTGTTATTTATCAATTGTAACGTAGCTGTGGTAAATCAGTGCGCATTTAATTATACTATCAAAAGAAATCAAATACAAATTTCCCCCCGGAATATTTATTCAGAGGAAGAAAAGTACCTACAAGAAAGAAAGTTTGTATTCATTAATTATTTATAAGTTGTGACTAGATTTATAATCACAAGGTCATCTGCATAGCACGAAAGAAAAACTTTTGATGAACTGCGCCAAAACTGAGTAATTTTCATCATTTTTAACGTTACACACAATCACAATATGTATTTGGAATAGCCTGTTTCATAATTTCATCGAATTGTATTTTTATTTAATTATACTCCAAATACGTAAATATATCGTTATTAATAACATTACAATTACAATTCATTGTTAAACACGTGAAAATACGTGAAAATACGTAAAAATTTGAAGGATCAAAAATAAAATTATGAATCTTTTTTATGTAACTTATGCTTTCTTTTTTTTAAACCATTAATACATTTATAGTTATAAAGATTTATAGTTATTAGTTATCATCATCGTTGTCATCATTATCAAAGATTAGATCTTTTAAAATGTTATTCAAGCAATTAACATTATTAACAATGAACACTCCCAATTTAGCGAAATAAAAATGCATTTCTTTAATGTTAAAACAAGATATATCTTGTCCAAAACTTCATTAAACTTAATTTCATCCCAAAATAAGAAATGTACCTTCTGCCCAAATATGAATACAACTATCTCTATTTATTCATCCCTTTTTGGCTTAGCTAGGTCAAGAAAATACTTGATTTTAATTTACTTCAAATAGTTTAAAATATCTGTGCGCATTTATTACTGTACGTATCGGTATCGGTATAAATGCTTATTTAATGTGAGCCGGGCAATTGTTTATGCAATCAAAATATTTACTATAATATTATTGGTTCATTATCTTACAAGTCAATTTAGCAGGTATCAGTATATCAATTATTTAGGTTTGTATGTACAGTACGGACGTATCACTTTATTACTGTATGTATGATAAATTTATATATATTATATATTTTAAACATTTACTAATTTTTTATATTTATATATAACAAATAAGATTATTAAATAAAATTATTAAATAAGATTATTAAAATTGGTTTTATATATTATATTAGTTTCTTAACAAGACCATTGAAAAGTTCTTAGTAGATTCATATTCGATTTTCAATTGTCATACAGGTCTTAACATCTAAATATATATTAAGCACGTATGTATACAACACTACTAACTTTTCATCTTCAAATACCTACGTACACATCGTAATTTGGGTCGGATGGATTAGGCCAGCATTAAATAATAATACTAACCAACTACATTATATCAAATTTAACTTAATGAGTAGGCTATTTCTTCATTAGAATTCTCTTAATGCCACCCAAAAATTTCAGTCAATATGCCGAATAATCTATTTATCCAGGTTAGAGGCCTGCATTGAGTCCCAAAGCCCAGCCTGGCCCACAAATATTTGCGGGCTTGAAAAAAAATTTTATAATTGCAGGCCGGGCCGGGCTTAACAAAAATTTATAACTGCGAGCCGGCAAAAAATTTTTATCCCTAATTGCGGCCCTCTAAGCTAGGTCACCTGATAATCATTTGTCCTAAATTCAATTTATTTTTATTTATTAAAATTCAATTTATTTTTATTTATAAAATTCAATTTATTTCTAGATAGCTACATGACGCAACACGATCGCATTAAAAAGTTAATTTAAAAAGTATGCAAAAAAATAGTATTAGATGTAGGGGTGTTTGTTTATTATATGTAGGGTATTTGTTTATTAGATGTAGGGGTGTTCGTTTTAATCCTACCTGAGACCAGTCTAGTCTAAATCCAGTTTGAACTAGTTTTTCCTAATAAAAAAAAACCACATTTGGATCATTTCAAACCAGGACTAGACCAAGGTTGGATTATCTCAAACCAGACTGGTTCATTTCTAAATTATTAAAAACATACCTAATCACGAAACAATACTCGTGGGTTATTTTAACCAGGGTTGATAATTCTGGTAAGTTACCAGCAAGTTACTATATATTACCAAAAAATGGTAAGTACCAATAAATTTTTATCTGGGACATTTTTTAAACATTAAACAATTAAATACTATTTATTCCCCCCGCAGGCGGTAAATCCCGATCAGTCAGAGGCCCGAAGGGCCCCGGTTAATTGAAATTTACAGGTTTATTCACCCGTAGTGGGAAATAAGGGTGTTCTATATGACGTCATGACACGACAAAAAAAAATGTCTATAAAAAGAGAATTGCGAACCTAATTTTTTGCTTTAATAAAAATCATATTAAAGGAATTTAAAAAAACTTTGTCTTTAATTATAATGATATTATTACGCTGACTAAGAGAATTACTAAAGTTCTTTGCTCTAAATAACTAACATGTTCTATCATGAATGTTAAGATCCTAATTTAAATAGTACTATAGTAATGGCTAATGGATTTTAAAACTTTCGTCAAGGATAAAACCATTATGCAAACTAAAAGAATTATCTCCAAATCTTAAAATATAAAAATTTAAAGTGCACCCAGGAAAATAACAAGCAATTCCGGACCATTGCTTTAAAATTGGTTGTTTTTACTGATTAAAGTAGTGATTATAAGTCGTCATGCGATCATATAGAAACATGAAATAATAATATTTGGTAACTTATTATTAAATTTTATGTTAACTTACTGGTAACTTATCATCTTGCCTAGAATTTAATTTGCAATCATATTATAAGAATAATGATTAAGGTTAGAAAATAAAATGAAATAAGTAGATTAAAGTTAAAAATTGTTTAATAAAATTTTTTATGTTATAACAGATCTTGGTAGATACTAAGTCGAAGCATCATAGTTTATGTGATCAGGTTTTTCATTTTTAAAATAATTAATTTAGTCTAAATTACATAAGAGATATTTTTAGTTAAAATAATTAATTTGGCCTAAATTACATAAAAGATATTCTTAGTATCAAAATTAGTTTTGAATGTAAACTCTGATTATTAACCAGTTAGATTTCTTTTCTATTTTTCTTTTGAAAATAATATCATTTTACTTTATTGAACACTCTATTATGCAGAATGACAATTAATATTTTTTTTTTTTTTTTTTTGGTATTAAGGTGACCTCTTTGGTCTTTTGACTTTTATTAATCACTTATCGGTAATGTGGTTCAATGAACCACTACAGGAAAGTGTACAATTGGCTATATGTGTAACTTTTCTATATTACCTATTTAAGGAGTCTGCCTAAAAGTTCTTTACCAATTGTCATACCTAACATTCCTGCTTGAGTGTTTTACTTTAAACCTTCTGAATCTGTAACCTGTGTTAACATTACTGGATTATCCCAGATACTCAGATTATCATCTCAACCTTGGGACTAATTTATTCTCGAGGTAAACCTCTTAGAGCCTTCTGTACTCATTTTTATAACTGAAATAGATATTGCTATGGCAAAACCAACACTTGTGGTCAGGATTGACTATTAAACCGTTATGCCCTTGTAGAGTTCATACAAACCCTAGCATCTACTTCATAGCATATTCGAAATATTTTAATATACCTTTGTCAGTTCATTAAACTCCTAATCTAGATAGCCTGATAGGACTTACGATTAGTCCATTGGTATATTAGATCAGTCTGATATCCTTTTTCTTCAGTTCGATCTGACAGTCTGGTTGATGGTACCTTTACCTAGAGGTTTTTACCCATCTGGCTACTTTGATCTTGGTATCCATTTCATAAGACTAGCCTTTACAGTAAGATTGTTAAAGATCTGGTTACCTCTCTATTCAGGTCTTTCCAAATGAACTTTTTGTTATCCAATTTCAATAGATTTACATGATCACAAGGACTTATCTAGTGTTTGCACTGCCTAATTGCCAGTTTGTATTCCTTTATATAACCACAACCTTGTCCCAAAGGACAATGTCATATGACCTATTACACAAATACTCCATAACCTGCCAGTCATGCTAGTGTGACTATTATTACAGGTATCCTAACCCAATCATTAGTAACAGTTGTCATAATACAAATATTACATAGATAATTATCCAAATTTTCATTATCAATAGGATTTGAATACCCAATCTACCACTTGGAGGGTTGACAACCTAACTACTTCACTAGGTTACCACACCCTGACAATTAATATTTAATAATTAGTAATTATTATAAAATATTAATTATCATTAGAACGCTTAGTAAAATAATTGTTGCTAATGTTTTATTAGACTTATTTTTGAATATTATTTGAAATTTTAGTGCAGTTTGAACTTTTTAATCTACAAATATAGTTGACTTTGATATAATAATCCTTTAAATTTTTTACTAAAAATTATCAGAATTAGAATTTAATAAATAATTTTACAAAACAAATATTGTATAAATGTGTATTTGATTTACTTGATATTTTAAATAAATAATAATTTGTTAAAGGTCTCCTCCAACCTATCTTAGCTAGAACCTAATTTGAAATAGTTAGCTATAGTATTCACAGGAAATAGGAGATGTAATGTCACATTGAGTGCCAATTTGTAGCACAAATATAGTTTAGAAATCTTTAATTTTAGAACTTATGATTCTAT